AATTGAGGGTAGCTAGAGATGGAAGAACTTCTGACGTGTGGTTTGGGCTGTGGCTATCCTACCATTTTCTGGCTGATATTTCTAAAAAAGAGGAGAGTCTTACAATCTATCAGCTATAGTGTAATATCCTCAAAAGCAGAATTCCTCACCAAAAGAGCATTGTAGAAGCTTTGAAGATTTTAGGGAGCCCAGAAAATGGGTTGCACTCAAAATACTTTGAGGTTTGAGGGGTTAAGATAAAACATATACTAGAGATGTTGAAAGCACTATTCTGAAAGACGGGAAAGACCATGCACCCAATAAAGGGGAAAAAACTATTCAAGAAAATTCTTACTGGAAGAATTCAAAGCCTAGCAAAAGACAGGGTTCAGATTGTTCCCAGGAGACAGTTCAAACACAAAGTCAAAGGAATAGTGTCTTCTTTTCTATGAATTAAAAAAAAAAAGGAAAGACCAGCCCTGGCCTTTGTTGAGAAGACAGGTAAACTAGCAAGGCTGGGGCACTAGATTAGTTTCCTACCACTACTATAACAAATTACCATAAACTCAGTGACTTAAAACAACACAAATTTATTATCTTAGAGTTCTGCCGGTCAGAAATCTAAAACACATCAGCAAGGTTATGTTCCTTCTGGAGGCTCTGGGGCAGAATCCATTTCCTTACCTTTTCCAGCCTCTAAAGATTGTCTGCACTCTCCTTAGTTCACTGGCCTCCTTCCACCTACAAGGCCAACAATCCAATCACTCTGACCTCGACTTCAGCCTACCTACACAGTACCCTCTCTGACTCTGACCCTCCTGAGTTGCTCTTATACAGATGCTTGTGATTACACTGGACTCTCCTATGTGAGGATAGCCTCTCCATCTAAAATTCCGTAATCACATTAACAAACACCCCAACACCATGTATGCTAACAGGTTCACAGGTTTTGAGGATTTAGACATGGATATCTTCAAGGGGTCCATTATTCTACTGACTATAGATACCAAAAGATGGGTTTCAAAGAGAGGCTGTCTTGAAAGCAAAGAGACAGTAAATGCTTTAAATAAATTAACATTATGCAAGAGTAACAAGTTACTGCTATCCTAAACTCATCTCCTCTATATAAACTGTGCACCTTGGCATTCCTTCAGAACATAATGAAATAGTTTGCACACTATAAAACAGCCTAATGCTTGTGCTGTACCAAATACTGTCAAGGAAGAGGAAGACAGAAAAACTGCAATAGGAAAGCTTATGAATTTTAAAGCTTGAGGTATATTAGGGTAATCCTCTTACTTCCCAGCTGTAGAAAACAACCCGGAGAAGCTGAATTAGAAATCACACAGGACCACAGCTGAGAACTTTTCTATTTTGGCATGTCCCTGAATGGCACCCATTCCAGCACATCCTTTAAGAGATGAAAGGTAACACGTATAAAGCAGCAGCAACAGTTCTAAGGACTTGATATACATTAACCCAGTTAATATTCTCAGAAACCCTATGAGGTAAGTGGTGGTTTCATTCCCATTTTACAAATGAGAAATAGCATAGCACAGGGAAGTTAAGACACTGTCCAGGGTCACATGGCTAGTAAGTGATAGAACTGAGATCTGAACCCAAGCAGTCTCAGGTAATGTGGTATGGAACAAAAACTTTGGAAGGAGAGAGACCAGGCTTAAATTCATTAGCAATACAAGTTTGGGAAAATACTTAACTACTATAGTAAGCCTCACTTTTCTTCTGTAAAGTGGGCCAGTAACATCTATAGTGAATATAAAGTCGAGTACAGTCTGTAAGTACCAATATATGGCAGAAATCTCAATTACAGAGAGCTAATATTATTATTTCTATCTTTCCAGCATTATTCTTTTTTAGAGATTTTATTTATTTATTTGACAGAGAGAGAGATCACAAGTAGGCAGGGAGGCAGGCAGAGAGAGAGGAGGAAGCAGGCTCCCTGCTGATCAGAGAGCCCAATGCAGGGCCCGATTCCAGGATCCTGAGATTATGACCTAAGCCAAAGGCAGAGGCTTAACCCACCAAGCCACCCAGGCACCCCTTTCCAGCATTATTTTGCAGTGACTTTTGTTTAAGGTTTAATCACAATACCAAATCCTTTCAGTGCTCTCCTCACAATTATAGTAAAAACCAATCTGTCTTCTTTATTCTTTAATATCCTCAAACATACACCAATAGTGTCCAAGGCCAACCATGTCCAAAGTTTTTCAATAATGGGTCAGAAATCCATATATAATCAGGCTGTAATTGTTAAAATAATAACAATGAAATGAAGCCTGCTTTATTCACAAAATGCAAGCTTTCTACCAATATCAAAACAGCAGCATCAGAACTGTTAATTCAATGTTATTCATACAACAATTCAGACATTTTTCTAAGCCCAAAGCAAATAACTTAACAATGTTGCAAGCATTATCAACAACATCAGTATTTAATGCAATGAATGACACATATCTTCACAGACCCTTTCAACTTCTGAACATAGTAACTCAGGCTCTCTTTGGTCATGTAAAAGAGTCCCTTTTCACTAAGCAAAGGCACCCAGACATCTCCTGGAATTTGATCACACTCGAAGAGTTTTGGGGGTACTTCTGGCATTCATATGCTTTTTTCCCAAAGCCCAGGGATCCCATGCCTTGTGGGTGGACACAGTTCACCTTCAACCCAATTAGAGCCTTCTGAAACAAAGTCATACCCATAGGACAGATACCTGAAAATGCAGATATACCCTTTTGGCATCCCAACAGAAATCATATAAATTTAAAGTCTGATTCCTTCTCAAGAATAAAACCAAAACAAACAAAAAAAAAAAGACCATTTTCTGAAACTATGACCCCATTTCTACAAATGCTTTGAATTTCTGAAAAAAACTTATTATTCTAAGACTGGAAATACTTTAGCATTTCAGATGAACACCTCTTCACTGCTAGCTATTCGGTCAACCTTATGTGGCCTGAATACTCGGACTTCTTAAAACAAATAACAATGCTTCATTTTTTTTCCTCTTATTGTTCAATTTCAATGTAAACAGATGGTTCATCAAATAAGAAAGTATAATCTTGTGAGCACCCAGAGTCCTAAAGTTGGGTTTTTCTATGCCTTCCTTGATCTGAAGAAGCAGTTCAATAAACCTACTGAATAAAACTAAACTAAAATCTCCATAGCCCAGCTCCTTCCAAAGAGTCCATCAATAAAGAAATATTAAGGGCTATAAGGTGAAGAAAATTCAGTCTTTGCCCTTTCCTCCATCACATCAGAAAATAAACCTAAGCACAATCTCTCCTGAGCAGAGCAACTTTTAAGTTCTGCTTTAATGACTTCTAAACATTTTTCCTTCATAAATGCAGTCTAAACTGTGACCAGTATGTGTGACTTTTTCACATTTCACCAAAATTCCCCAAATTCCTCTTTGGTATATGGTTAAGATCTGTTATGGCTATGTCCCCAAGTCAGCACTAAATAGGTGAAAATGTTTCATTAGAAATAACAGGTAGGGGGATGCCTCGGTGGCTCATTTGGTTAAGCGGCTGCCTTCAGCTCAGGTCAGGATCCCAGGGTCCTGGGATTGAGTCCCACATCAGGCTCCTTGCTCCACAGGGAGCCTGCTTCTCCCTCTGCCTCTGCCTGCCACTCTGCCTGCCTGTACTCTCTCTCTCTGACAAATAAATAAATAAAATCTTAAAAAAAAAAAAAAAAAGAAATAACAGGTAGGATTCACACAAAGATCAGACAGACTCCAACTGGCCTGGTAATTTCTGTGGGGAAGTTGATGGTGCATGCATATATAAGGCTCTAGTCTCCTATTAGAACTAACCTAACCTGTGGCCATTCTGTTAGCTCTGCCCTTGCCAAATGACAAAGATTCCAATAACGTGGAAAGAGACAATGTAAAACCTCAAATCTCTTAATGTCAAAAAGAAGAGGCTTACTGATTTTGTTGGTTTTTTTTGTTTTTTTGGGTTCCTTTAATTTAAATTCAATTAGCCAGCATACAGTACTGTAATTGTCCCTCAGAACAATGTTATTACTTAAAATACAACTTACAAGAATTGTACTAGCCATCAAGCATGTTCAGATATATCCTTAAGAAAAACACATACTGGCAACAGGCCTCTGGGGGAGAGGACAATATACGTCCTTGAAGCCAAGCAGCTGGGAACTCCCAGCCCGCTCAGGGCAGAACACTGCCTGCTTCATTTTTCCATTATCTCCCCTTCCCCGGAGAGCTCCTGTGGCTAATTAGGTGATCCCTTTTGAATGTGCTTGCTCAACTATAAACTTTATACTGCTTGACCAGATATACTTTGCCTTCCTTCTTGTTTATCTACAAGGCATCTGATTAATGTGTAGTCTTCTTCAGCTCCTTTGTTGATTACTGTCTATATCTAATAAAAACAGCACTGAGTAGTTGTTCGGGGCAACAACTTTTCTACTGTTGTCCCCTGCTCGCATTCTCTTGCAGCTGACTTGTTTGCGCCTCATTCTTCTCCTGTGTGCCATCAGGAAGCAGCAAGTACATCATTAGTTTCTGATGCAGTGTTCAATGACTCATCAGTTGCATGTAACACTCAGTGTTCACCATGTTTTAAAACAAATCACAGCGACCTTCATCTTAGAAGATAAGGGAAATGTTTTATCTCCATATCTCATTTATAATGCAGTTAAACTTTGATTAATAAAAATCAATTAGGAATAAGATGTTTTGTTTAACTAAAGCTTAAGCAGATTTGTTTCAGGTATTTTTTTTAAATCCAAAATCAATTAGTTTATTTCCATATCTCATTAAGATATGTCAGACATAATGTAATCATTCACTGTGCTTATAATTCTAGAAGATGTTATTTCACATACTCAATCTTTAAGATTAGGTAATTTTATTATTTTTCTTCTGAATCTTAAAACTGGAAAGCAGAAAAAAAATCTGGCTAACAAAGAATGTACTGAAGTTACTGATTATTAAATATCATTTCAAGATATAAATGCAAAAGGAAACAACATACCTGATTGAATGACGAATCACTATCAGAGCAATTATCTGTGCAGTAACTGTTGCTTTTCTCCTTCTGGATTTTTTTCTGCCTCTCTTGACTTCGCATCTCATCTTCTTCAAACTTGTTAATCATAGATTCCACCACTACCATCATGATATTCTTCAGGGAATGCATCATTTCTTTGTATCTTTAAATTTAAAACAGTCTTGGTAAGAGAAAGACTATTAGCACAAATTAAAACACTCAGTAAATTAAACTATCTTTTTTTTCTGTAAAGTCCCTCTAAGGGCACAGTTCGAAAAAGGAAAAAAATATGTCAGCTTTTTTTAAAGAACAAGTGGCACAATGGAATTCACACAACAGGAATAAAAATTAATAAGAATTCCAAAACATATGTTATTTCCCAGATTTCTTCATCTGATTACACAGACCAAGGTAGTAAAACTAACACAGTCTAAGGCAAGATATTCCAATAGCATGGATACCAGTACTCCACAATAGTCAACTGCTAATACCATACTACCAGAACAGTCTAAACCTAAAGTTTATTCCTTGTTTATTTCTATCTCTTTCTCTATCCTCCTCCCTTCTCTACTTTCTTTCCTTCCCTTCTTCCCTGCCTATCTTTATAGGTACTTATAGTGAGCATTAAGACCTAAATAAGAGCTAAGCCATCAGTAGGTCCTTTGAAGGACAGAGGCTAAAGAACCTACTGTCAGAGACGTTAAGAAAGGGATTCCTGAAACTGGTAAGAGTTTGAACCAGATAGCTTCTAAATCCCTTTCAGCTCCAGTCTTAGAAAGAGGGATGCTTGGGTAGCTCAGTTGTTTATGTAGCCAACTCTTGATTTCAGCTCAGGTCATAATCTCAGGGTCGTGAGATCGAGCCCCACAAACCTGCTTAAGATTCTCTCTCTCCTTCTCTCCCTCTCCCTCAGCCCCTCCCCAATTCATGCCCATGCTCTCTCTCTCTCTCTCTCTCTAAAATAAATACAATCTAAATAAATAAATAAATAAATGCCTCAAAAAGAACTTATAAATAAAGTTCTCCACTTACTATGTGCCAACTCTCAAGTACCCATTTTAATATTAGGTAGAAATCCCAGGGTGCCTGTGTGTCTCAGTCAGTTAAGTGTCTGCCTTCAGCTCAGGTCATGATCCCAGAGTCATGCAATAGAGTCCCGCATCGGGCTCTCTGCTCCACGGGGAGCCTGCTTCTCCCTCTGTCTCTCATAAATAAATAAAAATCTTAAAAAAAAAAAAAAAAAAAGACTGAGGTCCCAAAAAGCCTAGAAATAAAATTTTAGAGCTAGATGAAACTATTTTTAGAACTTTCATCTAGCCTTTTATTTTACAAATGAGGAATATGTGACCTGACCACTGAAAAAGCTACACTTAAAACAAGGCATAAAGATTTAAATAAACATAGTGAATAAAGTACTATTTTGGAATTAGAAACCCTGGATTATAATTCTGACTACTTTACCTACCAGTTTTGTCATCATAAATCAGTTTCATTTTCCTCAATGATAAAATGAGATGAAAAGAATACAATCTAGCTGACCTATTTCACATAGCTGTAGCAAGACATAATAGTATGTATCTGAAAGTTCTTTGTAAATATAAAGCATGAAACATGTATTTATTATCATTTTGTAATAAAAATACATTAGGGAAATAAGCACAGAAATGCCCCTTTCTTTATACTTCTAGTAAATGGGTTATTATAACTCCATAAACCTGAGGAAGGATAGGTAAGTTACTCTTATAAAAACAATAAAACCATGCTGGGGTTTTCGATATAAATAGGAGGCTAAGATTTTAAAGCTTAAAGGAATTTTAAAATACATTTTAAATTATATGATATACATCACATATTAGTAACTATATATAATTCTATACATAACTTAAAATACATTCTCATATATTTACTATGGTTCAGCAATCTATAATTTACATAATATATAACTAGAATCTAATTTAATACATAGTTTATTCATGTATGTGTTTTTAAAGCATCAGAAATTGTGAGAAAACACAGAAATATTAAAAGAAGATGAGAATAGGAACAATGCAGGAGGAAAACACATACAGAAGAGAACTGTTAAAGAGGTAAGGAAAAGTCCAGATCCAAGTTTAAGGTAAGGGGATATAAAGAGCAAGAAGGAATCCTAGGACACTCATCAGACTAACTGGCAAAGTATCTATAGGATAACTGAAACGAAAGCGTCCAGCTTTCCTCTACACATTCTCAGCAGCAAGAAACAGGGAAGCCTAACAATGCCTTGGTAGCAATCAAGAGCAATCCATCAAAAGCTGCTCTCTCCCTCCACAGTATTTATATTATAGCTGGGCACAGATCTAAACTACAGTCCCAGACTCCTTTGCAGTTAGACATAGCCATGTAAACAACATAAAGCCTTTTCCCCCTTATAATTTACAATATAGTAATTTAATACATGAATATAAAGGTAGGAATCTAAATGATGTATATAAGGTAGGACTAAGGGTCATTAAAATCTGTAAGTTTCATCTTAGACATGTTTCCTCCAGGCCTTTTTGAAAACACTAACATGAATTCTTCTGCAAGAAATACCAACAAGCTGTCCACAGAGATAAGAATAATAATTTTTATTTTTATCTTTTTTAAAGATTTTATTTTTAAGTAATCTCTCCATCCAATGAGAGACTTGAACTCAGAATCCCAAGATTGAGAGTCGCATGCTCCTCTGACTAGCCAGCCAGACACCCCAAGAATAATAATTTTTTAAATGTTAAAAAAAAAAAAAAAGCTAGAGGCCATACTCTCAATATCAAGACTCAAATGAACTAGTCTTCAACAGTAGCTACTGCAGTTTTGAAAAAGACAAAGACAAACAAATATAGTATGGACTATAAACACCATTAAGACTCAATCAATACTCCAAGAAATCAAAATAAGAAAAAGTTCTAACAGGTAGTGAATAAAAACCACATCAGTTAATAATGAAAATCTACATGGTGAGTAGTTGCACTTACACATATGAGGAATAAATGATAGACCCTACAAATGAATTCTTCTATCTGTAAACTTCTATTCAAAAAATATCAACATGTTTAATTAAAAAAATAATTTCTAATTATTATAGTAAAAATGCTGTTAATAGAGATACTATTGCCTCATCATTAGTCCTAAATAATTTCTGAATCTCACATATCAAGAAAAAAATAATACTCTGCTCAACTTAAAATCATTCATCTACAACTGACAAAGCAGAAGACAAACACTCATTAAGACACAGAACATCTTTGTGAGGTAATTATAATTGTTTTAATTTTACACATGGATGAACTAAAACACAAGAAAATTAAATGGCTTATTCAGAGATTTTAAAAAATTCCTAATATTCCCATATAAAACTTTGCTCTTAGCATGAAAATGCTTTTATTTTCTGACTAATAAAATATTTTAATACTCCTTTTAGAATAAATTTAATAGCACTGCCAGAAATAGATTACTGGAAATTATATTATCCAAAGATGAACATGACTCTGGTTTGTGATTTTTCTTCAAATCAAAAAATAAGAAATCTTGGGGTGCCTGGGTGGCTCAGTCTATTAAGCATCTGCTCTCAGCTCAGGTCATGATCCCAGAGTCCTGGGATGGAGTCCCACATTAGGCTCCCCAGTTAGTGGGGAATCTGCTTCTCTCTCCGCCTGCATTTCCCCCTACTTGTGCACTCACTTTTGTGCTCCCACTCTCTCTCTCTGACAAATAAATAAATAAAATCTTTAAAAATAAAGAAAGAAAGAAAGAAAGAAAATGTTATTGTGGCATACTCACTCTTTAGATTCCTGAATCCTTTTAGTAACATGCTGTACAACTGTGTCATAGCCAGATTCCTCATCCTGATTCTGATCAGATGTCCATTTTTCCATTTCTTCTTCAATCATAGACCCCAAAGTGTTACATATATGCTGCCGAAGATATTTCACAAATTCATAGCTAAAACAAGTATTTAAAAAATAAATGCAGTAACTATCATGAACTCACTTAGGAACCATACCCAGGAAAAAATGTTAGCACAGAAATATTTTAAAAATACTCAGATTTCTTCCCTTTAAACTAGGCTTAAACTTTTCATCCCAAATCACCAAGCTTAACTAGAATTTTATTACTTTTTTTCTGGGACATTGGCATTTTCTGCATACATTCCATGCCCACTCACTCCATCAGTCCACCCAGTCATCAACACTTGATAACACTGCCTACACATCCTTTGGTTTCATCACCTCTCCTTTTTTTCCACTTCTGTTGGTCAGTGCAAAACCACATCACCTCACACAGAGATTACTACTGCGGCCTTCTTGCTCATCTTCTTCCACTGCCTCCTTCCCTCTCATATTTATTCTGAACACTGTAGTTATCTTGGTCCTCAAAAATCACAGCCTTCATTATTTCTGAGTTAGAGCCACTTTATTCATACCAATACCTCATACCCCATCACATACATAACATCTGAATAAATAGTTGTTGTATTTAAAACTAATTATTGGCTGTCTATTATCCTTCAAATACAACTTCCTTGGCTTGGCATTTAAATGCCTAATCAATCAAGCCCCTTAATTACTGTATCCCCACTTACATGAAGCCACATGTAAGTGTGTAAAGTGTATGTAAATCCCCACTTACATAAGCCTCAATTTTCTCCAGAAACCACCATTTTGATTTGCATATAAACAAGGAGGGACTTTTAAGTGATTATCATGAATTAGACACTGCTCTAAGTATTTTATTAATATTGTCTTATTTACCACATGAAATAGGTAAAATAGATGAGGATGCAAACGAAAAGCTAAAAAGCCTTGTCAAATTCACAAGCTACAGGGCACCTGTGGCTCAGCTGGTTAAGCGGCCCACTCTGAATTTCTGCTCAGGTCATATTTCTGGGTCCTGGCAGAAAGCCAAGCATCAGGCTCCATGCTCAGATGGATTCTGTTGGAGGATTTTCTCTCTCCCTCTGCCCCTCCCCCAGCTCCTGTGCACTCTCTCTCTCTCTCTCTCAAATAAATAAACCTTTAAAAAAAATTCACAAACTATTAACTCAAGTCCACCTTAATCCAAAACTCTTGTCAATCCCACAATCCCACACTCACTCAAAAATGGAAAAATTTCAAAAATGTTTAAGAAATAAGATGTTCTGTAGTGCTCAATGGAGATTGGAAATGGAAATAAATGTAACACTCATGTTTTTACCAACTGTATTATTTAAATTTCTTGCATTTAGGGAGGTAAATTTTTTATATTTCATTTTCTCAAAATTATAATTCACATTAAATTTAAAAGTGTAATTTACTTAAAAATTTATTTTAAGTTATTCATTGAATTTACTTTTAAATGTTTAATATTTATATTCAATGTTTAAGTAGTAATTTCTAAGCTTTAAGAAAATCGGGATCTATTAATGGCAGAAGAAGAAAACATTATTTTGTAAACTTAATGACCTGCAATATTAGATCAAAATGACAAAAACTAATTTTCAGAAATGCTAGAAGAAAAACTTACTGAATCATGTATCATAGAAAACAGCCTCTAATCATCATTTAAGCAGTTCTGTAGTTTTTGCTTCTTCTGGTGATTCATCATTGCCTTATATTACTTGAAGACCTTCCCTTATATAAGCAAAACTTCCCACCCATTTAAATGTTAACTTATTTTTTTATTTGTGTATTTGTAATTATAAACCAAATCTTTGCATATTCTATACAAAATGGCAAAAACTTATACAAGCAAGAAGAATTCAAAGATTAAGATTTCAAGAGAATCTTTTAAAGATACTGTTTCACATTTGACAGACCCTATATTTTGCCTCCACAGAGGGACAGGTGGCTCTGAGATTAGAGTTGGCAGATGTGTGTGATGAGATCTGAAGAGCCCAAAAAATACGTTTACCACATCCATCCCACCACAACCAGAAAACCTATAAAGAATCAGATTATCTGAAATTCCAATACCATAAATGTATTATTGTTTCTTTAAAATGTCCTTGTAAATGAAAAAGGATCTAGTAATAGATAATCATTTCAGCCCAATCAGTATGACACCACTGGGTAAAGGAAAAGTGTAATTGGAAGAAAGTGCAAAGAGATGAAAGTTCCCTAAAAACAATCTTGATCCTCCTCACAATCCTGCCCTAGGCTAGTCAAACAAGACAGTTTTCCTTCACATCTCTGAAATACTCAGTGAGAAACAAAACATGGGAAAGCCTGAGTTAGTTCTCCGAAACTAAAGGAAGGACCACTCTGAAGATTAATTCTACATCTCATCATCAACATCTACTATGAAAAGGCAAATGATTCCTTAGTTTGATCAGCCCCATTTCTGTGCCACAAATCTTGAGCAATTACGAGAAATGAATATTTAACTGAGAAATAGAACTCCTGTGTTCGTGTTGTTTAAAGCCCAAACTATAAGCAACAGAAACGATATTTTTTATAACTAAGGCAGTGAGGACATATGAAAGAAGTCCTTTAACAAAATGTATTCAAAAAGTTGAGAGAAGAGGCACCTGAGTGGCTCAGTCAGTTAAGCACCGCCCTCAGCTCAGGTCATGATTTCAGGGTCCTGGGATGGAGCTGCAAGTTGGGCTACCTGCTCAGCAAGGAGTCTGCTTCTCCCTCTGCCTTTCCCCCCGTTTGTGCTCTCTTTCTCCCTCTAATAAATAAATAAAAATCTTTAAAAGAAAAAGTTAAAAGAATACCATTCTAAAATAAAAGACACATTAAAAAAAGAAAGAAAGAAAAACACCTCCCCACTATTTAGCATCATCTATAAATAGCAAATAACAAATATGCTGAGAAAAAGTTAAAACCTCCTCTTTGGGAACCTGACAAACCACATACTTTTTCCCAATGATATCATTTTAATCTATGACTGCAGTATTAGTTCCCAGAAGACACCATTCAAAATACTTCAAGGTTTTGGTTCATCTTCCAAATTAAATGAACCCAAGAACCCCAAAATTGAATCTTGCCTAATGGGTTACTGCTCTTTTAAGAAAAAACGATCTCCAGGGAGGATAAGGCCCTCTGTCATGTGAGGACTACCAGGCTGCCTATGGCCCTTTGGATAGTCTACTGACTCCCTGATCATTGGAAGATTCACATTAGTAAACAGTAATTTCTGCAAGTGGACCCTTCTCCTCTTTGGGTAAAAAAAATCCAAGGCTTCAAATTCTCTTCTGACAATTCATTTTGTGTTGGTTTTTTTACCATATGGATTCATGGCAATATCCCATAAAATCCTATAAGGAATGCTGTTTTCTATAGTGGTGCCCATGATAGAAAGTTATTGTTGTTATGGGCTGGGAGAAACACTTCTATAAAATTAAGTACTGTGTTGCCTTCACTGTATTCCTCATTGTATTGGTGCCATTGAGCAGCTCTTAAATCTACAACTAATCCAAAAGATTGATGATAAGCTCTTTAAATCAACCCATTACATCATTTTTAGAAGTTATCCAGGAGGTGTAGCAATATTCTTATTTTGTATAAAAGCAAAAGCCTGGATGCACAAAAGAAACTTTCCGAAGTTCCCATACTTATTCCAGGAATAGCAAACTAAGATCTTACCAGGGGTAGACAGGTAAAGTCAAGTCAGCCATGCGTAAGAGAGAAAAGAGGCAGGGGTGAAATAAAAGGACATGTCTCAGCTAAAAGGAAGAGCTTCTACATGGCTTTAGCCACTTTTTGCCATTTAGCAGTATTAGCCTAATGTTGATTTTTCCAAGTTTTAAGAAAAGCCAGAAAACTATTTTATATACCATCTCTCAATTTTTAAATGTTAACCTTTAAAAAAAAAAAAAAAAAAGCCAAAGAAATACATCCACAGACCAAATATGGCCTACAGAATTCAGTTTGACCATTAACATCCACTTACTCCAAGCATTATAAAACCCTTACCACTAAAGATACTGGTGAATCACCTCTGTGTTTAAAATTTCTATTTAAGAAATGTAAAACTTCCTCAAAAAAAATGTACATTCTTAATAACTTATTTTAGATGATACTTATGAAGCTTAATTTAAGTCAATTCTGCTACAATTTAGGTCCTTTCCTCTCAGATTTATTTTTAGCAGACTCCTTTGTGTTAACATTTTCAGATTAACATACCCTAATTGCACTGGAAATATAAGGAATCATCCAGCTTTGCCATGGACTACAATAAATACAACTTCCATTTATTTTTAAGTCTATTAATATTTCCTTCTTGTTCATCTTAAAATTTTCTAATAACAAACTTTCTTATTTTTTTTAAAGAACATGATCTATACAATGAATAAATATTATACCTTTAGAAATCTATTAATCCCTTTGCTTCAGGTTTAAGTTCTAAATTTTATACTGGTCAATCTTGTAACCTTAGACAAAACACATGACCTTGCTAAATTTCAGGTTCCTGCTATGTAACCGTAATGGCAATTCTAATGCAAAAACTGTTATTTATTACATATAGCTATACTTTGACACTTTTCAAACCAAATATACTATACGTATATTTGACTAACCATTTTGTTACCTTAAAAGTAATTTAATGAGAAAAAATTAAAATCTGGTTTCAAAGATACTATTACCAAATGAATACAAAATATTTTTTACCAAATATCCCTCAAAGAGGTACATTAAAACCTAAAAGTACAGTTGTTTGCTGCTAAGGAAAAATGTGTTCACCTCACCACATTTCAGAAGCAGCTCAACTGAAATACACAGCAATGTGCTTCATCATTTTGCTTTACTACTGATGAATATGAAATTTTTCACATTTACACAGGAAAACTTTACAAAGTTGGCTAAAAGAACAGTCATTGTTTTCAATTTTTCCAGTTTTATTACCTAGATTTTTCCAAGAAAATCAATTATTTTTTCATGATGAAATTCTGACGTGTTCAAAATACACCAAAGTATGCACTGATACACAGAGTACTAATACAACAGAAAAACATTAAAAAATCTGATACAAGTTCATTTCAAGAATGCATTCTCTTAGCTATTTGAATAAGCAAAAAATTTTCAGTCATATATAGAAAAAATTATAGTAATGATATGCTTTAAAAAGAGACTTTATTAGAATAAGTTATGAATTATAATGCTGGTATTTGGAATTCTTATTTCAGAACAAAAAGATTTATTATATGACCCCACCTAACTTTATATATCATTAGTATATAAAAGGTTATATAATAGAAAGAATGAGTATTTTACATCACCTACAACCTTTTAGATCAAAGAATACGTTTCTGAGTCATGATAAACAATTACTAGAAATTCATTAATTATGAAAGCACACATATAATTCTTAGTAATTTTACTATACATGGATATCACTTTACACAATGGAGGCTTTCTTGAAGTTACCACTTAAACACCCTAGAGTTCACTGGTAGATTCTCCTGTGAAACAAAAAGTAAACCTCTGCCAAGCTCCCCCCAAAATTCTGATTCATTTATGAAGAGGCCCAAGCATCAGTATTTTTTTTTTTTACATGGGGCCCAACTGATTCTGGTGTAGCCAAGACTAAAAACCAGGGCTAATCTGTTTCCTGGGGGCCAGTTTAAGTGTCAAAACCTACACAACACACACACATAATGAAAGCAATGGCCTCATCCCTCCTTTCTCCCCTCCCACAGGCCTCAAATCCTTGCTGCCACTTTCAGAGACAAAGGCGAATCTTGGATCGTTTAGAAAATATATATAGTTTAAGGCAGAAAAATAGAAGTTCTGGAAAGCAGCGATAGTTTAGGAAAACTGCTCATTGGGGCAAACCCCAGAAAGGACTCTACTGCCTACACTATGGTTTCTTCCCCAAATGACTGTATTTTCCCCCACTTTACTTGATTATACTATCTGAAATTCCATCATGTATGGACTCAGTTGTCCTAACCATCTTCCTACAAAAATAGTCTAAAGACACCAGTTTCCCCTGTAAGTCTGTTTAATAAAATTGTTCTGGTAGCGGCGCCTGGGTGGCTCAGTGGGTTAAGCCTCTGCCTTCAGCTCAGGTCATGATCTCAGGGTCCTGAGATTGGCCCCGCCTCAGGCTCTCTGCTTGGCAGGGAGCCTGCTTCCCCCTCTCTCTCTGCCTGCTTCTCTGCCTACTTGTGATCTCTCTCTCTGTGTGTCAAATAAATAAATAAAATCTTTAAAAATAAATAAATAAAATAAAAATAAAATTGTTCTGGCCAATACTAGGACAACATTGGGTGGATTTAAGAAACCAATGTTCTGATAGTGGACATGGGAAGATAGATAATTCTGAAGTAGGAAACACTTTGGGAAGCAAAATGTATCTAAATGACTCAATAACATAGAATGCGGGGCCCCTGGGTGGCTCAGTGAGTCAATCCTCGGCTTTCAGCTCAGGTCATGATCTCAGGGTCCTGGGATCGATCCCCCGCATCGGGCTCTCTGCTCAGCAGAGAGACTGCTTCCCCTCCTCTCTCTGCCTGCTGCTCTGCCTACTTGCCTACTTACGATCTCTCTCCCTCTGTCAAATAAATAAATAAAATCTTTAAAAAATAAAAAAGAAAGAAAGGAAGAACATACAATGTTCAAGAAGAGTTAGGTCAGTGAAAACAAAGATTAAAATATGAGCAACCAGACTAATTGATCTTTAATATCACATCCAACTCTGAACTGTAAGATTCTATGGCAACACCAAAGACAAGCATCTCCTCCTCTTTTCCTTTTCCACACAGAGTTCCCTCCTCCTAAGACACAGATCTCCAGTTAGTGAACAAACACATAAATTTTGCCATTTATGCTTTTAAGACTACAAACTACTCAAAATACTTTCAGGATTATAAGTCTTAAAAACTACAAATCAGTTATAATTTTAGAGTGTCTGGATTTTTTTTAGGTAGGCCAAAAGTAAATCTCCTCAGTGAACAGTGAACATTAACCATAAATGTTAATCAGCAGGCATTTAATCCAATGCACTGCTGAAGAGTAAATTACTTTATTACAATAGTCATTAAACTGCTGAGAAGAACAGCAATGGTCTAACTTTAATTTGAAAAGTACTTTAAAATTGGAGGAGCTGAAACAATACAAGAAAATATGTAGCCTTAAACATTTACACTAAAAAGAAGAAAAGCTGAAAATTAATGAGCTAACCACTGATCACAAAAGTTTTAAAAATTTTCCAAAGAAAACATAGGAACAGAATGTAAAAACCATAAAGTATACATGTAATAGAAAGGAAAAACTAACCCAATAGCTGATTTTTTTAAAAGACTAACAAAATAAGCTTCTAGCAGAAGAGGGAAGGCACCCAAAAAAGAAAGAATAAAAAGGGGGGCATATAACTACAGATACTAAAAATAATTAAAAAGTTAACAGGATATTAATGAAAAACTATATAGTAATAAATTTGAAAATCTAGATGAAATACACAAATGCCCAGAATATGATCCTAGCAAAAACTGACAGTAATTTACAAATTATTTAAACAACTGCTTGCATGTGAAATAAAACCCCAAACTTAATGTTTAAGAGTGTCTGTGTGAGATAAATTTGTATTACATGAGTTTACAAACACTATTAATTAAATCTTAATTTGAGAAAGTTGCGATTATTCTACAGTCTACAGCTATTAGCAGTGGATTTAATGAATAAACAAGAAAATCATGGAAATACAAATAAATATATGTATAACCAGATATATTAGCGAAATTAGTAACCATATTAACAAGAGTTCCACAAGAACAAGAATTCCACACTTTTGAAAACTCCCTTGAGAATCTGGTGAAAACTGTAATTACTCCTATAAAACTGCAAGAAAAAACAAACTTTTACATTAAAGGGCTCAAGGATCCCTTTATGACCATGTAAGAAATGGGTGGAGTTCCAGATAAATACAACTTCCAGGCACTCACAAATCAGTTTAAAGGTAACTGAAGATAAAATTTTCAGTACCATCTCTGTGAGATCAAAATGAAATGCACACACTGAATTTAAAATACTGCTACCAATAATAATTAATTAATTGAGATACCTGTAAGAAAACTTTTCAATGGAGAGGATTAAATGAACCAGAACAAAGAAAAAAATCTCCAAAGAAACATAATCTTCCAGAATAATCTCAAATGGTACCTCTCTTATTAAAAACTCCTATGTCTACGGCTCCCAAGCCCACAGTCTCTAGCCCTTCTGTTAAAATTCTGCCATCTATCACAGGCATTGGAGTATGTGGCTTATCCTTTTCTAAGAACTTAAGCTATTCCATAGGACATTAATAATCTCACTTCAGTATTTCTGCAGTGCTCAGAATGAGCAACTGGTGCAGCCGCTGAAATACCACATAGCAAAGGAACAAAAATCTTGGGAACTCCCTGCTTTCAGGCACTGTGACAGGAATCCCTTGATAGAACATAATCACTCTTAGAAAAACGTGAACAATTTACAATTATTGTTACTGCGCTGCCCATAAGGAAAAAAAAATGAAGAATTAGAATATGTTGGTGTGGCAAGAGAAACACAGAGGAAGCAGAAGCTTTGAAAGTAAAAAATAAATAATACAAAAATTCGGTAGAATTTTTGAACCTCCAACTTGGGTGCTATTTTTAACAATAATCAAACGAACATTCTTTCTCTAACCACACTTGGACCTTTTCTGGATCAGCTGGCTTGTTTGCTTAAGACATCAAAAGCTATTTTACTTGTGAAATTTTTCATCAGTTTCCTCCAGATGTAAGAGGATTTCCTCGGCGCACTCCAGAGAGGGGGCACCCGTGATCTTCTCCTTCACGCTCTCGAACAGCTGCCTCAGCATCGCCTGCAGCATCACCTCGTCCTCGCCTGAGAAATGGGCCATCCTCTGCAAGAATCAAACGCCGACACCCATTACTCCAGGCCGGCGCAAATGCCGCGCATTGCGCACGCGCGCCCCCACCCAACCCAGGCCGGCGCACTACGCCGTTCCCCGGGAGACCACTGCTAGCGCCTGGGGGTGGATCCTCGGCTGCCCGCGCGTCTTTCCGGAACACAAGTCACCTTACTTTCGGGAAGCAGGGGTGCGCAAGGACCCGCCTTTGGTCCTAGTCGTTGCCGGCTTCTGTACGAATACTGTTCAGGCTGTAACCTAACCGCAAAAGAGAGAGATCCCGGAAGGTTTTGATGGGTGGGCCTGACGGCGGGACGTCAGCGATGCGCGTGACGTCAGCACGTTTGACGGGTTTCCTAGGTGAGAAAGAGTGCCGCTTGGGGACCCGCCGGGCTCTTAGAGAAAGGTTCAGGTGCGCTCGCTGTGCTTAGCCTTGGCTTGTAGATGGGAGGGAACGGAGTACGAAGACAAAGAGTTGAATAAAAGTGAAACTGAAAATAGATTGAAACGTTTTAATTACGTGAATGGTATTGAAATGTTACAATGCTGTTTCTCTTTAACAGCCAGCATCTATTGATTGCTTCCCCTGACCAAGCACCTTACGAGGAACTGTGAAGAAGACGGCCCTCATAATCAGACACAAAAAGAAATCCGCGTGTACACCACAGTGCAGTTAAGTGTTAGAGAAGTCCACCAGGTAGGTGTTGTGGAAATCCAGAATCCTCTTTTAACCTCACGTTAGAAGAGTCAGGAAAGAAGCGAAGAGAGTTGTAACATGCTCCAGTACTGGAGTTAGTAGGGTTAGAAGGAGGAAGTGAGGAGCCTGAGAAGCAAGTAGTCCACAACTGAAAGGGTCATGTTTGGCACATTTCTGGGTTAGAGATTAATCTTAAAAGTAGCAGGACACAATTGGATTCCATGGTGACACCATGAGGTATTGTATATGAGGAACCTGTGCAGGAAGCAGCAGTGGATAATCATAGACCGTCATCCAGTTTCCAATCTAGATAAATCCTCAGACCATGGTCACATCCAAGGTAAGGAACCAACCCAACAGAGTATTGGGATCAGATCCTGGTGTCTATGAAGTAGTTCCAAGTCACTGATGAGTGGTTTAATGTCAATGAATTCTCCCTTACCCATCTTAAATTTTGCACTTCTGGTCCAATAACATCTGAATCAGTTCTCATGTTGGCCAAAATCAGTGATTCCCTTGATGTCCATGCCTTTATTTCCAAAAATAAAAGTATAATATGTCTTTGCCAACTGTGGCAGCGTGTTTCTTGGTAAAATATATGCTTTATCTTGATTGTCTCACTAATACATTAAAAAAAAATCATACTACCAGAGTAGGCACACTTGTAACCTTATTTGTGGGTGAACCTAAAAAAAACCCAATATGTGTGTATGCACGTGTGTGCACATGCACCGAATCACCAACAATGTGACTGCTACATATCTAGATTAATACAGATGAGTTGTAGTGGCACCTCAAACATCAAGATTAACATAGCCGTTGATGATGAGATTTTTCTGAAACAGTAAGCTATTTGTTAAAATTCAGAACAAAATAAAATAATACTCCTTCCTTAATTCACATAGTTTTTGCATTCCTGGATAATTCAATGTGTTAAAACTGCCAAATATTTTTTTTAAAGATTTTATTTATTATTTGACAGAGAGATAGAGAGCATGAGTAGGCAGAGCAGCAGGCAGAGGGAGAGGGAGAAGCCCAGGCTCTCTGCTGAGCACGGAGCCTGATGCAGGGTTCAACCCCAGGACCCTGAGATCATGACCTGAGCCGAAGGCAGCTGCCCAACCGACTGAGCCACCCAGGTTCTCCTGCCAAATATTTTTATATAAAATGGAATTCATGCCTATACTCAAATACTTTGTAAGAGTTTTTTCATTTACTTGAATGTCCTGCAGGATCACTGAAGGTCATATAGGAAGCAGAACAATTCTTTTATGTGGGAGATTGTCCTGTGTGTAATTCAAGATGTTCAACATCTCTAGCTCACATTATGAATGACAGTAACTGCCATCTAATCATTGTGATAACAAACATGTCCCCATGTATTTATAAAATGTCTTCTTGGGAAGCAAGGATAATTTGAACAACAGATTGAGAACCACCATTCTAAAGGATAAAACTTGGGAAAAAGAAAAACAACCTTAATAGAATACCTGAGATGCAAGAAAAGAAGATGGCCAAACAGCAAGTGAGAGTGGTAATACATTTAAGTAAATCTCAACAAATATTGTTTGTATAAAATAATAATAACCTATAATATTCTAATTTGTGAAGGTAAAACACATAGCACTAAAATACTATAAACAATCATGTAAAGTAGGAAGTCATGGTAGGTTGAAGTATTCTGTAATTCTTGTATTTAAAATGTAACCATTACAAAATTAGAAATAAAGAATTTAAATTTAAAAAATGGAAGGAAAAATGAAATAAGGAAAGAAAAGCAAAAAGTCCCAATCAACTAAAAAAAGTCAAGAAAGAAAAGCATAAAAAAAGGGAAAAATTTAAAATATACAAAGATACCTGATAGAAAAAATCCAAAATACTGATAAATTTAAATAAACTCAGCCCTCCTCTTATAGGAATGGTCAGACTAGATATCTATAGGGGAACCTGGGTGGCTCCATCAAGTGTCTAACTCTTTGTTGTGGGATTGAACAGTAGGCTCCCTGCTCAGTGGGGAGTCTGCTTTTGTTTCTCTCCCTCTGCCCCTTCCTCCACTTACACGTTCTCTTCTCAAATAAATAAATTTTAAAAAATAATAAATAAAATAATCAGCTATATGCTATTTATCAAAATCCTAAAAACAGAAAAATTAGGACCAAAAAGGTGGTGGATGATAAATCAGATGAATATTGTCCAAAAGAAAGCTGTTGAGGTTACATTTGTGTCAACAAAAGTAAAACTTAAGAAAAAAATATGTTAGGGATATAGCATGCCACTTCATAATTTTTAGAACACTATTTAATTCAACAGGAAGATAAAATTTTTAACTTCAAGCAAAATTCTTAATCTCTCCGTAAGAGGCACTTCGAAGTTGAATACCTAAGAATACCTAAGATATACTTTTTAGGTTTGCTTTTTCAGATCATAAGAAACAGAAAAAATTGCCTCACCAAAGTTAGTGTTTATGAAGAACTGAAATATTATTTATCATTGTTAAAGATACAAAAACCTCTCAAGATAGCCCAAAACTGTTATAGCAACCTAATTACCTTATTGTCCATATTATAATAACCCTATCATTTTAATGATTCAATTTGTCTCTTTCTTTATCATCTTTTCTCAATGCCACCTTCATTTAAAACTCCCTAACGCAAGCCATAAGAGACCCTTAATTATAGAGAACAAACTGAGGGTTGAAGGAGGGGAGGTAGATGGGGGAATGGACTAAATGGGTGATGGTCATTAAGGAGGGCACTTGTTGGAATGAGCACTGGAAATTATATGTGGGTGATGAATGACTGGATTCTGCTTCTGAAACCAGTGATACACTGTATGTTAACTAAATTGAATTTGAAATAAATAAATAAATAACTCCCTAAGACACTATACAGGATGCCTTGATGCACAGCCATATCCCTTCAGAACAAAGCACTTATTCCCGCATATCCCTGGAGTGTTGGCTGCAGATATTTTACAACTGAATCCCTCTTCAGGAATTGCCGTGGAATAAGGAAGTGGTCATGCTCAAAGTCATGCTCCCTCCCTGAGGAAGGCTCATGTCTGATGACTGGTCAATGTGTTATCTAATCAGCCATCCTTTTTGTCTCAATTGTAACAACTCTGAAGCATCCCAGTTTCAGAACTCCTCATGTGATTCCTGAAGCCTCTGTTGCAAGGGTATTACAGTTGAACTTCTTATTCCTAATTTTACTTCTCAGAGTTCTACCAGATACTGTCTCCAAGGACACACACTAATACATCTGCATACAAAGGTCAGATTCCTGGAGTCTGTTTCCAGAGGAATGCTATTGGCTACAGAATCTAATTGACTGGGTCAATTAGATACTATGCCTTTCTCCAACACATATTGTTCCTAATAGGATGAGTTTCTGATGATGGCATAAACTGCTGGTCTTCCTTATGTCCGTGGACTTTTGACAAGGCACTGAGTTTTGTTCCAAACATGCATGGCCCCAGGAGCAAGGTCAATTACCTAAAACATGGTTTTTACATGTTTGCTTTGACTAAAAAGAAAAGCTATACTGTGAGCGTAAAAGGTGCTTGGGACTCATGGACTTGCAATGAAATAACAAATGTAAAAGACTAACAAAGGCCTTAAATTTGGGGAAAGTGTTGTTGCCCATTTCTACAGCTTTGAATTGAATGTTTTCATAGAACTTGGTCAGATCCATCTTACATAATCTAATAAGAGTAAATCATTTCAAATTTTTAAAGTTTTGAAATTGGCTCTTTTTTTCCTAGACAATAATCAGAAAGAAATGATATAAATCTCTAACATTGCTATTAAAGCCTTCTTTATATCTGGGATTTCCCATTTCAGAGTGAACTTTGCTTTTTCCCCAGAGGGATATTGTCATTTGATATAAAAACTAAAGTCTTCCTGATGAAAAATTCTTCCAGAAGTCTCATGTGGCCTTTGGCCATTTACCCAAAATATAAGTGTTTAACATTGAAGGTATGCTCTAATATCTGGATAAAGAATTTGAATTAGTATGGTTATCTATTTTTCCCTATATACAGGGTTCATGTACTGATGTGACCTAATTTGGCCTAAAGAATATTCTGACTTTGTCTCTGAGCTATGGTCCAATTCTACCAATTCTTTTAACAGTATGTGAGTAAGACAAGAAGCTCTCTTTGAGTTGGGAGAGTGGGGTGGGGTTATGGACATTGGGGAGGGTATGTGCTAAGGTGAGTACTGTGAAGTGTGTAAACCTGGAGATTCACAGACCTGTACCCCTGGGGATAAAAATATATTATATGTTTATAAAAA